ACCCTCATAAAGTGTAATTAATGCAAAGTAGTTGTAGTCTCCAAAAACTGGACTAAAATATGCATAAATATAAATGGACGTTAATTTAACACCATCGTCAATATTAAAACAATTTCTGGTGGCTTCATGGAACACTGAAACCCCTATTTTTTATTGTTTAAAGTTACCTTCTATTTTTCTTTTAAATATCTTATTAGTTTTTTAATTTTTATGCAAAATTTATTTATTTTAAATTTTAATATATTTTTGGTTTTTAAATTTTTTAAATAATTCAATATAGATTTTTTAATTCAAGTTGTTTTTTTTTTGACATATTAAATATGTGTTTTAATAAAATATTATGATTAATTTATGAATTATAAATTAATTTAAATTTAAATTTACAAATTAATTATAACTTTTTATTTATTATAGAGACTATTTTAAATATTAATGATTTTTATTTTATTAAATGATATTTAACTTAATTAATATAATAGTTAATTATTTTGATCTTTGAAATTTGTTACTAATGATTTGTTTTACTGCAATACCAAAAAAATTAACTATTTTTTGCACAATACTAAGATAACCCAACTAAACCCTAATTACAAAAATAATATTTCGTTTGGATCTTTTCATGATAACCAAATAAAGTCATGTTTGATACTTTTCATAAAATATGACGAAAATCTTCATTGCTAACATGTCTTCCTTGTGGAGTTTGGTGAGGCAGGTAGGTGTACGACTTTACTAGCCCTTCTTTCAAATGTCCAAACACACTGTTTTCAATGCAACTTTATTAAATAATGTATTTAAGATTATTGATTTATAAAAAAAATAATAACAATATTATTTTGACAACATTTTAACATCATCGATTATGTTAATGTTTATGATTATTATTATTAATTATAAAGTAATTTTGGACCAATCACAGAATGACACGTAAATGATTTAAAATATTATCAAATAGTTTTAAAAGTAATTCTATTAAAATATAAAAAAGATGAATCACCAACATTTTTGTATTAAAATAAAATTTATAAATAACATGATATAATCACATAAAGCTAAATAAAAGATGATGATATGAATTTAGATGACCTAATAAATGATGGTAAAATCGAAAAAATAAAGAGAGCACTTTCTATCGGTTGACTTCATTGATTCATAAGGTTGTTTTTAATGTTGTTATTCCATTATTGGTGGTAGTACTGTCAAAGGTTGAGCACGTCGATGTCACGCACAACAACGTGAATCATCCAGAGGCCACAGAGAAGCAATAAAAGCTATGAACAAAATTGTTGAAAAATTCTTTGCTTTGAAAATTGTTGTTTAATATCGGTAATGTTTGAAACTTGTACGAAATTTGTGTGATGATTTTTCTTTCACATATTGAGAAAGTAATGAATGGTCGAAGGAAAGTAATAATTGAGAATGGTGAGTTGAGTTTTAATGAAGGAACTTCCTTCTCAAACGTTTTCTAATTTCTTCTTCCATATTTGACGGAACATATGGTGTTATGTTCCATTCTTTGCCTCAACCAGTCTACGTCACAAGAACATAGTACAAAAATATGGCTACGTCAAAACTTAAACGCATTTTCTCATATACTTTTCTCACTGCTCTCCTACTACAATTGTAACATCATTTTAATAATCTATTTCATAAAAGTTTACAATGAAAACAATAAATAAACTATAAAGGTCAAACTCTGATTTTAATTCATGATAATTGTAAATTATGAACCAAAAACAGAACAAATATTAATGAGTGATAAACCTTTCCATTAATTAAACAATTCCCAACACTTCATAAAAAACAATGCGAAAGTGAATCTAGATTAATTTATTGGAATCAACGTATATAAAAATGGTATATGATGTACATCATCACCTTAGGTTCTCTCTTGATTTTTTACTCTTGATTTTTTATTCTTATAGGATGAAAAAAAAAAATAGAAAAAAATTTGTACGTGTTTATAAAAGGAATCGGTTTCATATATTATCTTTATTTTATATTCATCTTTTATTTTTAATTACTTTGTTATTATTTTTTATTTGTATTTTGAACTTAATTCACATTTTTCTATTATAAATAGAGGATCATATTTGTATATTTAACGCAAAGGAGATTAAGCTCAAACATAATTTTTACTATATTCAACAGAAACCATGATCCCTCTATGTGATTTCTGTCGATTAATTTTTTTTCTTATGTTCAATATTTTAATTTGGTCTCTCAACAAATTAAATTATTATTTATGGTCTTTATAGAATAAACCTCGTATAACATATATATACCCTTTAGCCATAATTTAATTAATTAAATCACTTTAATAAATTGACTAACAAAATACAATAATTCTAACACATTTAATGATTTGTTTAAATTGCTAACAAATAATAATTAAAATTAAATGTAAACTTTTTCTTTTAAAAATGGACTAAAACATATATGATTGGATGATAACATAAACTATGTGTTATTTCGCTTGTGTTTTCTACTAATTTGGAAGTTGGTATTTTAAGACTAGAGGTAATTTACTTACGTTGAGGTAGTTTTTCTAAGCATATCATATTCTAGTATGATAATAATTACATGCATGATTAGATAAGTTTTTTATGAGTTAAATTATTTTAAATAACTTCTTCATATTTTTATTTTTAAATTATGCATATATTAATATTTGTTATCATAATCAATCCTTATTTTAAATAACTTCTTCCTATATAAGTTTCAACTTCCTTTAACTTCTTTTGTATGACAAACTTATTTCAATCCTTTGGGTTATATCAACTTATCCAATTTTTGTAGCATATTAAACTAGTTAAATTAGTTTTCTTATTCATTTATAAAATTGAACTTGGTATATAGTTTCAAAAATCTCAATTAGTTATGTTGTTATTGAAATGGTGCAAGTTATATCACCATTGACAGTGTTAATAATAAATGTAGTGGCGCGTTTACAAAATAAATGAGAGAAAAAGAAATGATTATAGAATGTGGGACTAAAACCAAACTGTACAATCCTAAGAATTATCCTACTTGGAGTTTGATTTATATAATCACTTAGTGTAATGCCTCCACCATCAATTATCCTTAAAAATCATTTGTGACAATCATTCTTAACGAGCATATTGATTGGATTCTCTTATCTTAAAATCTTCAATAATGAGAAATGTCCATCACTTATAAGGTCTGTGATAAAATAATACCTTCATACAATGTATTTGCATCTATAACGAAAGATGAGATTTTTAGAAGACATAACACTCTGAGTGCCACTAAATAACATAGAATCATCTTTCTCCTTCCGTAATTCTTTAACAAGGTTTTTCAAGTATATCATCTCATTGGTTGCTTCATAGATAACTATAAAGGCTTCAGAGATAAATATATAAACTTTGTCTTAGAGTTTAGACGTCTAACGAATAACAATATCACCCAATGAAAGTAGGTAACTTGTTTGTTCCTTCTACTCTCAAAATCTCGTTCTCAATTCGCATAAAAAGCATCCTTATATATTATGTTAGGTCTGGTATATATCATAACATATATCAAATTTCCGACTGTATAAAAATATGTACTTTATACATATAACTTTCTTCTTATAGAAGATATCCTATTTGAGTGAATTTGAACAAAAAAAACAAAGAAAAACAAGGTGAGAAATAAATGAATTTGAAATGAAAGTTAGTAAATGATAATGATAAAATTGATAGATTAAAGTAATAATTTAATTGATAAAAATAAAAGATTATTATTATTAAATCTTCATATTCAGGTTTCTTCGTTTTAGTTTTTCTTCTTCAACTTTAGATTGTCACCAGGTAAATCCGTGTAACCAAGAGTAACAATGCTCCATACATCGCCTCAGACAACTTCAAAAATACCTTCCGATTTATATCTCGCTTTCTATCATATTAAAGCCTACAAGAATAATATTACTATGAACATATTATTTCTTAACTTAACAAGAATGATCCCTTCACATTTGTGAAATTTTGAGTGGATCATAAATTTTATTAAAGTAACTTTCGGGGTATATATTTCAGAAATTTAGTTGCTCATAAATTTTATAAAAGCAACTTTCGGGTTATATATTTCAGAAACTTTCCAAGTTCTCCAAAATTTTCAGAACATAATTTCCTAAACACAAATTTTGAAACATATATTTCAAAATTAATTTTTCGGAATAAACTTATCGGAACATATATAATATCTTTTAAATGAAAATTTCAGAACAATCCATGTTTTTAAAAAAATAATCAGAAAATGATGAAATATGCTCCGAAAAAACTTTTCATGTCAAGCCAATGTTACTGATAAAGTAAAGGAGGTTTACTACAAGGTACAATTAGTAATTATGGAAGTGCAGGCTAGTAAAACATATTTTGATTAAACCAAGCCCATTTAACCCCATTTGTGTAAGTACATTCCTAAACCCTATCAAATTTTCTTTAGAAAAAAATTTTCAGATATTGGGATACCGGGCAGGAAATAATAGCCATCTGTGTATCACAAAATACAATTAAACTAAACAAAATTGATATTTTGTATTTTTATTTAAATTTGATTAATTTTAAACTTAAAATACTTAAATTGTATTTTCAAGCATGTTTTAGCAATCTTCCTTTCATAATGTTTTTTTTAAATGCAAAATTAATTTTATAAACTCAAGACGATCACATACACTAATCAAATTAAAGGGACTAAGGAAAGGCAGATGCAAACGTGGAAAAAACTAATATTTGGTTCCTATAATACCATTAGTTCCTATGACAATTTAATTTAAAACAAAACAAAAAAAAAAACTAAAAGAAAGATAAACCTAAATCTGCAGACAATCAACCAAGATCAAATCGGTTCCACGGCAAGATTCAATTCGAAGAAACAAACCATGCAATAAAAATCTACTGTGACCCTAACTCAAACGTACGGAAAATTAAGAATCTAAATCGAAGACTATAACATTGGAAAGGGGAAATTAAATTACCATAGTGGTTGTAAAAGTATTGAGATGTGTGGTGGAATTAGTAGACAAACAGCATTAACAAAGATCCGTTCATCTGTGGATCCACCACGGCAGTTGTCTGGCTGCCTGCTGACGAATCAGCTCTCACTTTACGCACAATAGCTCAAAGGCCTCTCCACGTTATCGGAGGGGCCTACGATACAGGGTGCGTCTTAAACACATTCCTATACACCAACTATGACATTTCCCCAAATGCAAAAAAAAAAAAAAAAACAGCAAAAACGATTCAAAGGGAAAGCAAAACGGATTCCGCAAATGAACAGTGAGAAAACGATAATCGGTATATTTCAAAATACAAAAATGGAGATTGGTTTAGCACAAAGTAAGGTGTGAAATGGGAGAGAAGCGAAAATACTCGCTCTTGGCAGGTGAGCAATGTTGATCCAGAGCTATCGTGAATTCTATTGCAGCCGCTCTGGCTAGGGTTTGGGTTGGGAGCGTTAGGACTTGAGAATATATAGCGAGTGGAGCCGCCGCACCCGGGGTTTGCACTTTGCCCTATTCTATAACCAACCCTAGTTATCGTAACCAGAAAGTACTAAACATTATTTTTTTTTTAATTTGAAATTCGGAAAGATGTTTTACGTTTTTTATTTTCTAGATGTACTTTCAGTCAAATTTTTTTTTCTATTTTATTGTGCTTAAAGAGAGATCGCAAAGAAATTATTAAAAAAAACAATTGTTTTAATACATTTTTTAAAACAAAAGTAAAAATGTAAAAGAAAATTAAGACATTGTTTAATTATATATATATATATATATATATATATATATATATATATTTTTTTTTTTTTTTTTAATTTTCTGAGTTAGATTTAGTTCTTAACTACTAGAAGTGCTCATCGGAGTTAAAGAAAAAAAGCATATTTCTTAAAATGTTAATTGAAACTTTTAATATTTTAATTGCAGAACTTTTGATGAAGATAAAGGAAAGATTAGTTATGAAAATATTAATAAGAATAATAAAAAATATTAAGTATATGTATATTATGAAAAATTTTAACTTATTATATTATCTTTCGAGACATTATATATATTTTTTTCTAGGTTTAATGTCTCGGTAGGTCCCTATTTTCGGCGTGAATCTCAAATAGGTCCCTTTTCTTTTCGGCGTCTCAAATGGGTCCCCATTTTGTAAAATTGTACAACAATTAGGGGTCTGCCGTCAAATTGAACAAACGGCCGTTTAATTGTTTCTTACGTGTCAGATGGGAATCATGCCACGTGTGATTACTGAAAACACTGTTCATGCCACGTAACAAACAATTAAACGGCCGTTTGTTCAATTTGACGGCAGACCCCTAATTGTTACAATTTACAAAAATGGGGACCCAATTGAGACGCCGAAAAGAAAAAAGGGACCTATTGAGATTCATGCCGAAAATAGGGACCTACGAGACATTAAACCTTTTTTCTATCATATATTGTTTTAGGATGTGATGTAGGATTAAAAAAGTTCGTTTTGGTATTGTCACCTTACCAATTAAATAAAAAACGGTGGATCGAGTCATGTATTTGAACACATCAATCTAAAGTAATTTGACTCGTCCAATTGTCATATTATAATATGCGTTAACGTGTAATCTGTTTTAAATGTGTTATTTTTTTTTGTTATTCACCTAAAGACCTAAACATAAAAACAAAACAACACTCATTTTTCCACTTCAAGACTCAGTGTCACTAGTCCACTTACCCACCCAATGGTGGGATGGGTTCAAATTTTTCAACCCATTTTCTAACATTAGGTTGGTCAAACTCGACCTAAATTTTGTATGCCAGAAACAAGGGAAGTCTAAACAAGTCAGACTGACTCATTGACACCTCTAATGTAATGGTTAAAATTTTCATTATATTGTTTGAAGTGTGAAACGTTTTAAACTCTTAACTTGCCTTATATTCAAACAATACTCCAACTGGTAATACTTAATATCTTGTTTGTCTTTCAAGCCTTCACGAGAGCATTTAGTTTTTTTCTATCATTGTTCATCACCATTTTTCATACAAGTACCTCCCCTAAGGCTTCTTATATGTTTTCTAACTCTAAACAAAAATATCCCTCTAATAAGCAAAGAAGTTGTTACGAGTAGATAAGGGACATCTTTAAGTTGCACGTAATCTTTTTAACTAAAGAGGGACAATGCATAGGAACTTTTTTCTCCTCACCCCTCCATCATGGACGTGATGATCTCAAGTACTTTTAGATACCTGGAGAGGTTGTTGCCTATCCTTTTGACTTTGTCTTTAGTGATGTGGAAGAGTTTGTTTCATCTTTCGATGCATGCTCTGATACCATATGTCGCAACCGGAATCGCGACGGGACGACGATCCAAAAAAAACAGGTTTCGAAAAGAGATTTCGAGTCGCCACCATAGTTTATTCTGGAAAACTACGGAAAAACCATAAAAAGGATAAGGCATGGTCTGCGAAAATGAGATTCTTGGTTCGGGAGTCGGTTACGCGTAGGGAAGGTATTAACACCTACAACGCCTGCCCTAAGGCGAGTACTTTAACTAAATACGCGAATATGATGTGGTTTCAATATGTTTAACTATCCCCTAAAATAAAACTCTAAATAAACAAAATATATTTTTAGTTTTTTGGGCCCGACAAGGATTGACCTTGCTCTACGTATTCTCATTCAGAATGAGAAATCAGGGTTACGTAGTTCTTTTTGGAAAACTATTTGAGAAATTGTTTGGAAATCGGTTTGGAAATTTGTTTGGAAAATGATTATGGATAAATTCGGATTTTTGGAAAAGTGAACCTGACAAGGGCTAGCCTTGCTCCTACGTATCTCCACTTTTGTGGAAGGAGAATCAAGGATCGTAGTTCTGGCTAGAAAATATGTTTGTTTGCTTGAAAGTGTTGTTTAGTTTTTTGAAGATTTTTATATTCTTTTGATTTTTTTTAAAAGACAGAGAGAGGTTTTTAGCACAGGACGATGTACACGAGGCATGCGAGATCACACACGTGCTTAACTTTATAACATATTTGTATATTTTTTTTTATTTAAGAAAGGGAAAAGGTTTTTAGCACAAGGACGATGCGAGCGATCACACATGTGCTTGACCTTTAAAATATATTTTTGTATTTTTATAAAAGAAAGAGAAAAGGTTTCTAACACAAGGACGATGCGAGCGATCACACATGTGTTGACCTTAAAATATATTTTGTTATTTTTATAAAAGAAAGAGAAAAGGTTTTTTTTTGCAGAAGGACGATGCGAGCGATCACACATGTGCTTGACCTTAAAAATATATTTTTGTATTTTTTTTATAAAAGAAAGAGAAAAGGTTTTTAGCACAAGGACGATGCGTGCGATCACACATGTGCTTAAACTTTAAAACATATTTTTGTAATTTTTATATATATATATATATAATATATATATATTATTATTTTTTTTACGTATTATTAAATATGCATTTAAAATAAATAGATATTTAGAATAAATAAATAAAATAAAATAAAAACAATAAAAAAACAATAAAAACAAAAAAAATAAATAAAATAAAAAAAAAACAAATAGAATAAAATAAAATAAGGGAACAAAATAAAATAAATAAAGAAAAGCAAATAAATAAATAAGTACTAAAAATAAAACAAATAGTAAAAGTGCCTAAATGAGAAAATGGGGGTGTCTAAAATATTTTTCTTTTTTTTTTATATAGATTGGGCCTAAACCCAAACTGAAAGGGGTGGGGGGTGTGGAAGTGAGAATAGGGGTGTCTAAACTAATTTATTTCCAACAGCGAACTGGGCCTAAGCCCAGAGGACAGGGGGCGTGAAGTGAAAAGGAAAACAGGGAGAAAAAAAAAACAACTTTGTTTGGTTTTGTTTTGGGCATGGCCCAACGCTGGCCCAAAGAGGTGTTGGGGGGTGTGCGGGTGGAGAAACGGGGGTGCGTGAAGGAGAAAATGTTTTATTATTCTTTTTTTGGTTTATTAGAGAGAGTTGGGGCGGAAAAAAGAAAACAGGCCCAAGGCCTTTCCATTCTTCAGCTCAGGGGACCCTTAGGGGTTTCTCCCATTCTTCTCAACGCACCATTTCACCGCCACTGAGACCAAGGGTCTCTTTTTCTATCGCAGGAGAAGCCAAAGGTACTCAACTCCGCCGTTCTCCGACCCCTGCCAACCTCCGTCCAAACGCCACCGCAGTGCGCGAGGGGAGAAACACACTCACCTTCTGTTGCATTCCCGCCGCCGCTCCAGCCAGAAATGACCACTGCGCGCTGCCGTCCGGACCGTCATCAGCTCTAACGCCCACTGTCGAGTCTATCCCCGGCCGGCTGCTCCAGCTCCTCCCCTCTTCCGTTTTCGCGTGATAGATGTTGAAAGCGATGAGAGGATCCTCTAGGAGGTGTAGTTCAAGAACCCTTGAAGGAGCTCGATCTCATCCTCGTCGAATTAGAGTCGCGTGGAACAGCCACCGCGAGTCATCTAGCGGAGGCTTCGGACTGGAGGAGTCACCAATGACGATGATGGTGGCGACGGCTATTGATAGTGATTGGGGATGGGTTGGGTTGTTTCTTAGATTTCTTGCAGGTTTGGTGTGGTTCTCAGGTGGTCGGAGGTGAATGTTGAGGGTAGAGAGGATAATGATGATGGGTGTTGATGACTCGCAGGAATCGGGATAAGGCAAGGATGAAGATGGTTTTCTGTGATGCGCGGTGATGGGGAGAATTGGTTTTGGGAGGGTGTGATTTTGTCTAGTGAATAGAGAAGAGCGTGAGGAGGAGTGAATGGGAGATAGGAAAATGGTGGGTTCTCTAGCTTTGAGTGTGCTGAAGGAATTGAAAGTTTTCGTTCTGGGGTGGGTAGAAGGGGGTATTGATTGAAAATTAATGTTGGCCGTGAAGTAGAGGTGAATGAATGGAATGGGTTCAACGAGCAGAGAGATTGAGATCATGATGGCTCTATGGACTGATTTCGTACTTGTGTTTTATGGGCTTCTAGTTGTCGTTCAATGCTCCTTACTTATCCTCCTCTCTGAACATGGTTGTACTCCTTCTTTGTTGTGGGTGCAGTTAGTTGATGAATGATGAATGGTATTGGGGGTGAGGGGAGTCGAGACTGGATTATGGTTGAAGGTGGAGGTGTTGGCGATCCAAAGAGTCTACGAGTTTTCCCTTGGCTGTCGTCATCAGGTGTGGGGATGAATCTTGTTGAAACTTTGCAGCTTCAAGATGCTTCTCCCTTTTTTTTTGGTTCCCCTGGTCCTGAGGTGTCTGATAGATGGAAGCCAGAAGATGAATTCCCCAAAAATGGTTCCCCCTTCCCCATATTCACGGGTCAGATCAAACCAAAGTCAAAAGCGTGGCTTGTTCAATGGTTGCTTCCTGCAACCACCCCTACTCTGCTCTGCTGTATTTTCTCTTTCAGGTGACATAGCCAGAGACAGTGCATGCATGGCGCAGCAGAATTGCACCAAAATGGGTGATGGCGTGATGGAAAAAGAAAAAGCAAAACGCTGAAATTGGCTCAAATTGGACTGACATTTTTATGTTTTGTTTCTTTTCCCTTTTTTACTTATTTATTTTTTTATTTTTTATTTTTTTTTTAAAACATTTGACAAATGCA